AATAATAGAAGAGCAGCAGCAGATCGATGTGGTAGGACAATAGCAGCCCACAAATTACGTTTTTAATTTCTCCTTTGGATGGTCAGCAACGCAGTATGTGAGCTCCTAAACCATGCATCTACCCTTCTCCGCTCTGCCAGGGGTGGCACTGTCTGCTTTGTGCCTTGTGCTGCTGGCCCACCCGTGCATCTGCCGGGAGCAGGGGACTCCTCCCTTCCAGCTTTCTGAAAGCTGTCTCTTGGGAAAGACAGGTGGGACACAGAAGGATGCAGGCGGATGGGGGTTTGGAGAGATAGGAAGGACAGCCTTGGTGATCACTTTCAAGGTGAAGTTTTCTCCCTGAGTATCAAAACTGCCATGTGTTGGACAAACTGAATAAACAGCTCCTTCCTAAGATTTTGCAAAAAAAGCCAACAACCCAAACAAACTGAAAAAAACAAAACCAAAACAAGCAAACAAAAACAAAAAGGCTGACAGTGGAATTAGTGGAACTGATGCAGGACCATCACATTTGTGTTTTCCATCGATTCTGGATCAGCTGGTATTGAGACAGAACAGCAGGTTAATGCTCTGACCGTTCCCAATTCAAGGGCTGATCACACCTACTGTAAATAGAAGACTCGGGACAAAATACTGAATTGCCACACTGAGCTCACTGTAGTTTGCATGCAGCAATTTTGTGTCCATCCACACTGTGAGGTATCACAAGGAGAGCATTATTGAACCTTCAGTCCAGAGAGTCTGGGGCATTTGTCAGCAAAATAAAGCAAATGTAAATATACACATGGAATCTCTGGTGGGCCGATTGTGCAGTTTTGATCTTCTTCTGCAATCCCAAACATGACAGAAATCTTTTGATAACATTTGACTTCTGAGTTGTTTTTTTTTTCTTTCTTTGGTCAGTTGGTGTAGTGTGCCAGTTGTGGGTGGGGAGACGAAAACTCCACAACTCGTGAGACAAAGCAGCCTCATTTATTATGCAGAGCTCACTTTTACAATAGATTCAAAACTCCTGGGCTTAGCTATTGGCTGGTATCTCTCTCCACCCACTCTCTCCACTCAGATCTCTGGCCAGTGATGTGCTTCTGAGCTTCAATGGAGCAGGCTGAGGGTCCCCTGTAACTTACCCAGGGACATGTTCAGTCATGAACCAGGCTAGAAGAATTGGATTTGTGTTATGGTCAGATTTACTTTGTCCAGGCCAGCTGTACTGTGACAATACTGTGACAAGTTGATTTGCCTGGTTTGGTTCTTCTGCTGTTCAGCTTTGCATCGTGTATGGGGCTGAAGGTGTGGTCTAAAGGAAGAGAGATGGCTGAATTTATAAGAATTGCTTGGTTAAAAAGGTGCCAGTCTCATTCAGTGGTGATTTGCCAACAAGCACTAGACAAAGAAAGAAATTGCCGTTTATTTGTGCTTAGAGGTCGTTGTTGCCAGTTATGACATTCCTTTGTAAAATGAATAGGGAAAATAAACTGATCCAGAAATGCAGTCTGAATTTACAGAGAAATGTCTTAATTCTGATTTGAGAAGAAGGAAAGGTCATCTTGAAATGGACAAAAAGATTGGTACATTTTTAGTACTTTACACAATAATGAATTTATCTGAGCAGAAGTCTTCAATTTTAGCATTAATGGGAATTTAATAAGCCTATTATTCTTTTAACTTAAACTGAACTTGCATTCATTTCAACCATTCACATACTTTGTACTAAAAATCTCAGCCAACTTATCAAAATTTAGTGCTACCTTATATGCGGGAGCTGGCATGTGTCTGCCAATAGTGTCAAGCACAGTATCCTCAACATACAGGTCAGTCTGGCATTTTTCATCTAATAGTTAACCCCACTAAGCTCTGCAATTGATCCAAAGCAGTAATGTTGGTTTGACATTGCAACTTCTGCTTTCACCTCAATTTCCTTCTTTCCTGAATAGTCTGTTAATTGAATACAGTGTATAGAAGGATCAGTTCTCTTTTATGCAATTTTAAAATTTGTCTTCAAATTTCTCTTGGTAGCTAAGTTGCTCTCCTTAAGTCTTTTAGGCATGAATCTGCTTTTCCCACAACTTAAGATATGTAACACTTTCCTCCTTATTCCCTTTCACTTTCCTTTTCCTATAACAGAGCTGTTGAGCCAAAGTAAAATTCCTGCTTCTGCAGCCTAAAGACTTTGGCTCACACACCCCACAGCAGACATCTGTGCCAGCTTCAGGCAGCTCTGCTTGCTGGGAAATGTCTCTGCTGGATGCAGCCCTCCATTTCATATGGGAGTAAACAGTAACACGTGACCCTTTCCCTGTGGTGGCATTTCCCAGTCTGGTGTATCAGCTTACACTGAGCCTCCAGAGTCTGGGCTCAGAATGTTTATCATCCAGTTAGACCCTAAGGAACTGTAAGGCTGGGGTGTGACAAGACTGTGACAAAGCAGGTGTGGCAGATGTACAAGGGTCTAGGTGTCATTGACAGTGACTCAGGAGATGGGTACTTATTGAGGCCACATTCTTTTAAAATCAAAGTGCAAAGGCAGCAGTTAGGTGAGCTGGTCAAAGCAAGAAATTCAGCAACTAAGCAAGAAACCCAGCCCTTGTCATATGCACAAACATGGTTAACAACTCTAAAGCACAAAAATAATCCTGCTACAGTTCCAAGTAAAAATCTTGACTATTATTAGCCAGACAATTTATCTTTCCCATAGACCTTGACCCACAGACAGTGCACCTGCAGGTTTTTGGGTTAGTGCTCTGCCTCACCAACTGCTGGCATTGGAGATCTCCAAGGAAGCCCATTGGTGCTGATGCTGGAGAGGAAGCTAACACCCTCCAGACCCAAACACCAACACTGACTAGTGTGAGGGGGCAGGCAACAGATGGGGTTCCTTTTTCTCTCTACTTTTATTATGGGAAGCTGCATACTTTACAAATGGAAGTTGTAGTCTACAAAGGAAGGCAATTCATGCACGCGCCACTACATTCGTATTTATTTTTTCCCATTTCTGGTATCTGTCATAGCTTTAATATTGCTTTATAGATACCTGGAGAAGCCTAGGGCTGCCCACAAGGCTTTCCAGCTGTTTAAGACACTTTGCAACCATACATCCTTTTGCAACACTGCTCATGATGTGGTTTTATAGCTCCAAGGCACAAGTGTTGGAACTCTCACAACCAATGACAAGTGGCTTTTAAATGACAAGTTGGGTATGGGCACCATATTCCCTGGTAAAGGGAAAAAAGTGGCAACTGGTACAAACAGTGATAAAATTAACTTGGCCATGTACTTCACTGTTTGACAAGCAGCAATGGCATAATCTGCCATGAAATATCACACGTGTTCTCATCCACAAGGAGGCAGAATGACACCGTTCTTGTGAGCAAGGAGAACAACGCAAAGAGTTTTGCACCCATCCTTGTGAAGGGAATCCCTTGGGAATCAGTGAAGATAAATGCTACGTTATAATAATCAGTGAAACTGCTAGATGTAGTATTCAAGATTCTTAAAATATATTTGAATTAAGAGATTAGAGTTCATGTATTTAGATAGAACACGAAAAAGAATTAAGGGAAAAAGCCCTTCTCTCTGTAGTCTCACACCTGAACACTACTTGAAATACCACTCAGGAGAACAGTCTATGGGTTCTTCCTTCCAAAGAGTCTTCAGACGCTGGGCCCAGGCAGTCAGCATCTCCTTCCTCTTCTCCTGGGAGACATTCTCTGGAGCATAACAGATGTGAGGTTCAAGGACTTTGAGACCACAGAAGTGCATGATTCCATGCTGGATGCAAAACAAAGAAAGAAATGCCTCAGGAAATATCTACTCTTTTACTTTCATTTCAAGCTCATGGAAGATTCAAAACTGTTCTGTTTCTTTAACTCAATATCAGCCAGGTTTTCTAAACCTGTGCATTTATCAGGAGCAGGAAAATAAATTGCAGAAATTCACTACCTATCCAGGCAGCCACCATTGAAGGCATTCAGCAGAATGGTATACAAGATACTGAAAGACAAGGGCAGCTTCATTTATTCTGCTCTGTGGAATTTATTTTTAACTGCTGTTAATCCCACAGAACTGTCCTCTTTGGCAGCTGTTCACTGTTTAGCTTGCAAGAATCACAGGTGGCCAAAAGTTCATTGTCCAGTTTGAAACTCCTCAGATTTTTCTCTAACTGCAGTGTTCCACATCTACTTCTAAGATGGGTTTTTTTTAACCCTTTACCTCTGGCTTAGCTAAATGTTTCTGCAGGAAGGCTATTGCCTTTGGAATCAGCTCAACTTGCCATTTTCCCTCTGTGTTTCTGAAATTAGAGTTGTTTTTTACGTTTTTGCCATGTTGACCTGTGAGCTCTTTAGCTGGACAGCTCCACAGGAGCAGGCAGCTGGTAACTGGGTATGGAGGAGACTGGAATTTTAGATCATTTGTTGTATTGTGTCAGGAAGAAGCTGGCAAAACTTACCACCTGTATTTCTCAAACCATGCTGGTACTTCTGATAAAAGAGTAGCAATTAGAAGAGGAATGCTTTTTGCATGTTGATTGTTACTGCTAGGGTAATATGTGGCTCCCCTCCTGCCCTGCATCCCACATGAATTGGGAAACCACAGGGAACAGCTCCTGCATAGCTGAGCTAAAGGAACTCCTGTAACAGCAGGGAAACTGGGAAGGCTGACAGTGTTAAGCTTTCTCTACATTCTGATCTGCAAGAAGGGGGACAAAACAACTTTAAATGTCAGTGGACTTTTAAAGTAGACCCAGGATTTTAGCTAACAGTTTACAGCCTGCAGATCCTTGGAACTGACAACTTGATTATTAATTATTATGTTTCATATAGGAAAAAAACCCAATAAAACAATTGTTAAAAATAGCTGGGATAATAAAAAGTTATGTAAACAACAGCCAAATGTTCATATATTATACCTGCATGGGCCACAGGACATAGCGAATATCACCACCGATACCTTCTTTTGAATACATCTCTTTGCTTCCTCCCGTGGTGAAAGAAAACAGAGATAATTTGCCCTAGAATTAGGAAAGTAGTGGTTGATTAAGACATGTTTAAAGAAGAGTGCCTGAACGGTTCAAGAGATATTCAGGGAAACCTGGACAGCATGGATGTCTAGGGGAGAGGGTGACCTCTTCTTTCCCAGACCTTACATGAAGTGGCAGTTCTGAGGCGAAGATTGATGTCACACAATTAGAGAGTGGACTGGCTGTCTTTGTGAAGAGACAGGTTAAAGGAAAGGAATTATGTCTTGGGTGAAGCAGGGCTGACACACTACTTCAACACAGTGTAAAGTGAGACTCTGAACAACCACAATGGAAAAGAATGAACAAGGCCCCACAGAACATGGTGCAAGCCTTGACCTTAATAAAACAATTCCAAAAACATACCTGGAGCAAGCCACCATCGTAAGCCTTTGACAAATCATAAGCAAAGCCTTGGACCAAGACTCTGTCCATCCAGCCCTTCAGGATTGCAGGCATGTTGAACCAAAACAAGGGAAACTAGGCAAAGAGAGAATTACCTGGTCAGCACAGACAGTCTGGGCCACCTTTAGGCCTGGTTTACAGGACAAATCCTGTCCTCTGAACCTGCTCACATCCTGCATGTGCCTTCTGCCAGCTCTCTGTCAGGAGAGGCAGTAACTGTGCCTGGCAAAAGGAACTTGGGTGCTTTCTGTTTGTTGGAGCCTCAGAACCAGACCTGAGCATCTACAGCACACCAACCCCAGGGTGCATGTGAGGGCTTCCACCCAGACTAAAAGGTGGAATAGGATGAAGCAGGAGGGTGCCATTTAATTCAGGTTTAAGATTGTACAGAATCATGTCTCCTATGGCTGGAATGCAAAAGAATCTAGTATCTTATTAGCAGGATTGACATCTGGTGATCAGTTCTGATCTGACAGTCTGTTGACAAATGCCAGGGGATCTTAGGAAAGACTCATTTTCAAAGCCTGCTGAAATCATGCCATCAAGCCATGTCTAAGGCCAACAAGGACACAAAGAAATGTAAGATTACTATTTCTCTTTACAGTTCTTTGGGATTTGTAGACATTGGGAACAGAACTGGCACAGTGGAGAATAGAAATGGGCTGTAAAAATCCATTAGCAATTCCCAATAGTGCTTGTGCAACTCAGCAACAAATGAGATCAGCCTTCTTGGGAAAGCCCAATTCCCTGACTTTGCTGGCTTCCCCCAGCTCCTCACCCAAAAAATAATCCTTGCTCTGCTTTCTGTCAGCCTGCCTGACATCCATGGTCACGTATGTCTTTGTGTATCCAGACAGGAAGTTTGGCCCAGTGTTGGGGAGTCCTTGGGGTTGCTGTTGTTTCAGCCTGCATCATGGTGCTCCTCAGTTTCTGGATTTGCTGTAATAATGACGCAGGTAATTGTGCTGCTGATTAATCCTGTAGTATTTCCTGTACCACTACCTAGAGATAAAGTGAACTTTATCACAACTGAATTCTGTTTAAAATAATGACCTGAAAAATCAGCAAGTCTGCTTCCTGCACCTTCTTCTGCTCTTCAACCAGGTCTTTGGACAAACCTCCTCTCTTGTAAGCTTCCCAGGTTTCCACACCATAATTGAAGGCTTCTGAGTTGTGCAGGCGACCTGTGGGTAGAAGTGAACAGTCATTCCTTGCCCCGTGTCCAGTATCAGCACCAGATAAGAGTGGATGCAGGTTGCCATTCCCAGTTCTAAACTGAGTTACCGTGTTCCATTCTTCCTATTTTCTCGTCTTTGTTGAATATTCAGCATCATCACAGCTGATTTTAAAATTCTCCAATTTTAAAATGGAGAGGAATGTAGAATCTCAAAGTTCTAAAGCTTCACCTTCCTGTGGCAGCACAGCAAGTGCAGTATGAGCACCTCAGCTTGCCTTGGGACTCTGGGGATGCAGGTGGGTGATTTAAGAGAAAGCTGTTAATTGTTCTGCCTCCACTTTCGGGTTTACTGAGACCATCATGCGCTTGTAAACACGATGGAGCTGCTCTGCAGCCTCTGTAACTGGGAAATTCACCAAGGGATGGGGAACCAGTACTGGCCAGCTCTACTGATTCCACTACCAGATCACGGGTCTCTGGCAGAAGACAGGGGCAGTTGTAGCCTTGGGAACTAAACTGTAGCAAATCCCAGAATGGGATCTGAAGGCATTTCCTCCCCATGAGGAATGGACTTTAGAGGCTGATTATGGACACGTGCTAATGTGTTTTTTCCTGCCAGTAATCTCACTGTGATGCAAAGTTCATGTACAGGAGTGCACTTTAAGAAATGCAGATGTCTGTTCACAAATAGGTTTCTTATTAATGAAATAAGTTTCTTATTAATCTCTTCATGATCTGAGGGCTGGAACACCTCTCCTACCAAGACAGACTGAGAGTTGCTGACTTGTTCAGCAAGGGGAAGATTTCAGGGAGACTCTTTTCAACCTTCTGATATCTGGTGGGGGGGTGGCCTTACAAGTCCCTGGTTTTTGAAAAAGGTGTCTTTTGGCTGTTCTCACCAACAATGTCATTTCTTGTTGCTCTGGGCTCAAACTGCATGGCGTATAAATCCGACACGGTGACGCTGCAGCCCTGCTTGGTCAGTTCTTCCACAGCAATCTTCAGCAAAGATCCATTGAAGGACTTGGGCTCTTGATGTGCATAGACTATCAGGACTCTTTTCCCTGGAGGCAGGAAGAAAACCAGGAGACCATTTGGAATCTAGGAGGCAGATGCAGAACAGTTTGTAGAGCTGGGGCTTGTTCCTTGCTTTTTCTATAGTGTCTTTTCCCAAGGGCACAAAAGCAGTGAAAGCAGAGTGGCAGTGGCAGCATTTGACTCCTGCTCAGCAGCAGGGAGTGACTCCTGAGGCACCGATTGCTTCATGTGCCCAGCCCAGCAATTCTGTGCTACACTGGGCTTTCCTAGGTGGAACTCAGTGGATGAGGGGGTTGTTCCATAGCAGGTCACGCTGCCCTAGGTCAGCAAACCCAGCCCCTTCTCTTGAGACAACATTTCTGTTGGCCTGATTCCACTACCACCCAAAAAGCAGTGCCAGCTTAGATTGCCCCAAAATGTCATGGAAACAACTTCTGAAAGGTCAGAACACCTTCCTTCTGCAGTGGGGGATACCCTCCTGATCTTTCATTTCAGCACTCAGCAAGTTACAGCACTGGGGTAGATGTTTAAGATGCTCCTATCCCACTTCAGCACCATCACAGTGACTTCTGCAGAGAGCAACAGGATTTTTTTTTCAGAGATTAGATTGTCTTGTGTATCTCAAACTGCTGTCGAAGTGGATTCACAGTAAGCTGAGTGGCCAAGCAGGTGTGTAGGGATGGAACATCTTAGAGGCATGTAACAAGGCTCAGCCTATAGAGCTCCATGGTATGCTCAAAGTTTTATTAAGCATAGGCCCTACCATTCTAATAACTTTCTTAAAAACCATTCATCAGTGAAAAAAAATGTAAGATTTTGTATGGGGTTGTAGTTGTTTATAGATAACCAGAGAGGGAAATGTACAGGGATTATTGAAAATGGCTAGATCTGCAAAGCATGCAGCTCTTGCTTCCTGACTGCCAACATAAAAATTCAGGCATCTTCTGAACTCAGTTTCTCTGCGACACAGCTTCTAGATGTGGGTAAACAGTGTCTATGAAACAAGAGCTAGGTAAAAAATACTATTAAAATTTGCAGGTCAAGTGAGTGCTATCATAAATTAAATGTGTATATAAAGTCTTTAAATCCCTGCTCCATACCTTACTCTGGAATTTCAGGAGCAGTTATGACTTTGCTGTTCCTGCTAGATCTCATCCTACGAAGCTCAGTGAGTGGACGTATCACATGCTCCAAAAGGTGCTCAGTTTGATTCTGCAAAAATGCTGATTTGTTTCCATTTTTTGGATCTGAGGGCACCTGGGCACAGGGTTTGGAGAGACTGGAGTTTTCCAAGGCACCACTTACTGAGGTAATTTCGGTCGTTTGGAAAACCAAGACCTCAGTGTGCCAACTAAACCCAGCAGAGAGTCCCCATCCCTGAGGTGCCCAGCGCCCTGGAGCGAGCAGCATTTTCAGCCGCATTTGCTCTTACCTGCCATCGTTGGGGAGAGCTGGGGCGCTTCTCTCTTGATAATCTTGGTGGTGCCTGAGGATTCAAGTGAGAGATTTGCTGGTGAGAAACACCAGGAACAGGAGCGAGGAGAATCGCTGTTTCAGTGGGAAATGTGCCGTAGTGTGAGCACCGGCCAAGCGCGACCCAGCGGAGCGGGAGGGAAGCCCTCGGCTCTCGGCCCGGCCCTGGAGCAGGAATTCTCCTCCGGCCGCCTGGGCCCGGGGCTGCGCCGGGCGCATCGCGCCGCTCCCGGTCCCGTGCCGCCCTCTGGAAAGCGGCTTCGGAACAGCCCCCGGCGCTCCGGCCCCAGCCGGGCTGCCCTTACCTGCTGCTCGGGGTCCGGAGCACATCCGAGGCCGGGAGCCTTCCCGGCGGCCCCGCTACCCGGCCGCCCGCCCCGGGCCCTGGGGCAGCGCCAGCGCAGGGCGGGATTGGGATCGGCGCCGCCCGCGGCTCCGGGAGCACGCCCCCGCCGCTGTGACAAAATGTGACACCTACATCATCCCTGGAAATTATGTTTATTCTGAGTCTCTGCTCTTCTTCAAGTACAGAGCTCGTCCTTCATTTCTCCCAGCAACGCAGTATGTGAGCTCCTAAACCATGCATCTACCCTTCTCCGCTCTGCCAGGGGTGGCACTGTCTGCTTTGTGCCTTGTGCTGCTGGCCCACCCGTGCATCTGCCGGGAGCAGGGGACTCCTCCCTTCCAGCTTTCTGAAAGCTGTCTCTTGGGAAAGACAGGTGGGACACAGAAGGATGCAGGCGGATGGGGGTTTGGAGAGATAGGAAGGACAGCCTTGGTGATCACTTTCAAGGTGAAGTTTTCTCCCTGAGTATCAAAACTGCCATGTGTTGGACAAACTGAATAAACAGCTCCTTCCTAAGATTTTCCATAAAAAACCCTCCAAAAAACCAAAAAAAACCAAAACCAAACCAACAAACAAACAAAAAGGCTGACAGTGGAATTAGTGGAACTGATGCAGGACCATCACATTTGTGTTTTCCATCGATTCTGGATCAGCTGGTATTGAGACAGAACAGCAGGTTAATGCTCTGACCGTTCCCAATTCAAGGGCTGATCACACCTACTGTAAATAGAAGACTCGGGACAAAATACTGAATTGCCACACTGAGCTCACTGTAGTTTGCATGCAGCAATTTTGTGTCCATCCACACTGTGAGGTATCACAAGGAGAGCATTATTGAACCTTCAGTCCAGAGAGTCTGGGGCATTTGTCAGCAAAATAAAGCAAATGTAAATATACACATGGAATCTCTGGTGGGCCGATTGTGCAGTTTTGATCTTCTTCTGCAATTCCAAACACTACAGGAATCTTTTGATAACGTTTGACTTCTGATCTTTCTTTTGGTTTTGCTTTTCTAATTTTAAGCTTTGCATTATTTATAGGGCTGAAGGCAGGAAGAGAGATGGCTGAATTTATAAAAATTACTTGGTTTGAATGGTTTAAGTCTCATTCAGTGTGGTTTTGCCAGCATGTACTAGGCAAGGAAAGGGAGATATTGGCATCTATTTGCACGTGATTAGAGGTCACACCTTTGACATGTAGCTGGTTTTTCTTTGCCAGCAGGATGAAAACTACTGTATGTGAGATTTGCAGGTGTCATTGCACCACTGGAAAAATTATAGGGACTGGTGAATAAAAAGCATTAAATCTCCACAGTACTAGACCTAGGCTACCTGGAATGGTTACCTCATTCCTTAATCTTAAAAATCCAATCACAGTAAGTTTGTGCCATAATGGGAAGGTGACTTTGTATCTGTTTTCCTGGTATTAACTTTAAGGGCTATGTTGTAGTAGCAAGCTTTGCCACAAAGATTTAATTTTTAAGTCTCCTTCCTCTCCTCCTGTAGTTTGCTGCCAGGTATCTCTGTAGAGACTTTTCCCTTTCCGTTTCTCTGATGAATTGCAAGTTCTGTAGGGACCTGAGCATAATCATTCTCTATCTGTCCCTGGCTTTACACTTTGCTTGGCCCAGAAAGGATGAGTCTTCTCTCACACAGGAGGTTTCCAGCTCTGGAGATAACTCAGTGCTGGAATGCTCATTCGGGGCTCTATACCCTGTCCAGAACTCTGGGGAGGGGGATCATTGGTGGGCAAAAGTCTAAGGAAATACTTTATCTATAATCTTTCTGTAATCTACCTTATAATCTAAAAGTAAAGCATTATCTTGTCTGATTGATCCCCCTCCTATCCAGCAACCATGAAGATATGCTGTAGAGCTGATTTTAGAGAAAGAAGTTGTGATCTTAGCTAGTTTTGCATCATCTGTGCACCAAAATTCATACTGTATTTCTCTTAGCCCTCAGAGGGCTGAGAGCAACTGCAGCAATCAACAGCGTTGATGTTTGTGGAGAAGGGCTGTATCCCCCCTGGGGAGTGTGAATGCAGAATAGAAGGCTCCAAGGGCCTTGAGAACCACTGTAGTTGGTGACTGATGGCAGCCACAGATTTTCACTGTAGTTAAGTTCAAAAGACCACTACATGACATTTCCCATAGATGCTGAGCTGTGGCCTAGCAACAGATGGCAGCACTACAAGGGTGTATGTGTAGACTACATTGAGGAGATTTAATTTTCTCTTTGATTCTTATTAAATGCCAGTGAAGAACCACCTCTGTAGTGTCTCACTGGGGTACAACTGTATTTGCAGTTTTGGCAATCTGTTATGTGGACAAGCTGGTTAGGTCTTGGTTTATTCTCTCTGTTGGCTGTCAACAAAATACTTTTTCATTTCATCAAGGGCAATTCAGAAACAGCTATGGGGTATTTTGGCTTCACAGTCCTAGGGAAGAAGCTGTTATTTTTGTCTCCTTCCTGAGTTTTTCAAACAGATCAGAATTCCCGTGTATTCAAGCTGCATGAAACTAAGCACTTCAATACTCTTAGAATGATGAGACAATTATCCAGCACTGACTTGAGCGTAGCATCAGCTTAAACTCTTTGTACCTCTTCTGTAGAATATAGCCTCTTTAGGCTTTAAGTTATCTAATAATACAGTAGGATTTTTCTTTAAAAAAAAAAGGAGAAGAAATGGTACTTGCAGTGTGCATGGTATTAGTTACTGCCTGTTTCTCTCTTCAGCACAAACTTTTGATAAATTGTCTATTACAAAGTATGTTCCTCTGCAAGCAGGCAGCTCACCTCAGTGATGTTGCTTCAGGAACCCAATATTAAACCACAGAATGAATTACACCTGGCTTTAAATGTCAGGTTTTTTGAAACCTAGATTAAAGGCACCTTACTGCAGAACATCAGTCTTGGTTTCTCTAGGCTATGAAGCTTCTTGGTAACATAGTTCAGATGGGTATCTGTTTTCCTCTGTTGTTCTGCAGTTGCAAGCATGTTTGGCCTGCCATATCAGAACATCAAATAAAAGAAATACAGTTATGATTTCTGGAAAAAATTGTCAGAGAAAAAGATCAGAGCATTGCCTAGACATCTGTGGGAGAGGAGGACCACCAGCAACAAAAAACAAATCCCCAGACTAAACAGAAGTGGAAAGCATAGTCCTTTATACCCTTCTTCCCAGCCTGAAGTGCATCTACAGGTTACCTAATTCTAGTTCAATTCTCATGAAATCAGTGCTGGTTTGGCAGGGTGACACTTGACTTTTAGCATAGTGTGATTTAGAAGGACAATTATTCTTTAGCTCAAAATGGCTGTAACGTTTCCAGTGCTGCTAAGAAAGTAATACTGCCACTTCTTTTCTCTCTCCTTACTAACCACAGATCAGTCTCTGCTGGTTTTCTATGTGGTAATATTCTCCTGAGTTTTGGAAAGACATGTGTAAGAACACATGTGCAGTCCAGCAGAGTGCCCTGTGTATAATGCACTGGAAGCACATCAGGACAAAGACAATACCTCTTGGCTCAGCACCCACTGTGACTGCACAGTTGATGGCTTCCAAGGCATTGCAACAGCAGGACCCTTGTGGAACCTGGAAACTTTGGCTTATATGCCTCACAGCAGCCATCTGCAACAGCTTGGGGCAGCTCTGCTTCCTGGGTAATGTCTCTGCTAGACGTGCCCCTTCGCTTCATCCAGGAGCAAACTTGAACATATGGCTGGTGTGAGAAGGCAGGAAAAAAGCAGGATTCCATTTTGTCTCTACAAAGGGTAATCAAAGTAGGGAAGTCCCTTTGATTTTAGGAAACTGCATACTTTACAAATGGAAGTTGTAGTCTACAAAGGAAGGCAATTCATGCACATACCAATATACGAAATTTGCATTTATTTTTTCCCTTTTCTGGTATCTGTTATGGCTTTAACATTGCTTTGTAAATATGTCTGAAAGCCTAGGGCTGCCCACAAGGCTTTCCAGCTGTTTAAGACACTTTGCAACTGTATTCATGATGTGTTTTTTGCATTTTTTGCAACACTGCTCATGATGTGGTTTTATAGCTCCAAGGCACAAGTGTTGGAACTCTCACAACCAATGACAAGTGGCTTTTAAATGACAAGTTGGGTATGGGCACCATATTCCCTGGTAAAGGGAAAAAAGTGGCAACTGGTACAAACAGTGATAAAATTAACTTGGCCATGTACTTCACTGTTTGACAAGCAGCAATGGCATAATCTGCCATGAAATATCACACGTGTTCTCATCCACAAGGAGGCAGAATGACACCGTTCATGTGAGCAAGGAGAACAACGCAAAGAGTTTTGCACCCATCCTTGAAGGGAATCCCTTGGGAATCAGTGAAGATAAATGCTACGTTATAATAATCAGTGAAACTGCTAGATGTAGTATTCAAGATTCTTAAAATATATTTGAATTAAGAGATTAGAGTTCATGTATTTAGATAGAACACGAAAAAGAATTAAGGGAAAAAGCCCTTCTCTCTGTAGTCTCACACCTGAACACTACTTGAAATACCACTCAGGAGAACAGTCTATGGGTTCTTCCTTCCAAAGAGTCTTCAGACGCTGGGCCCAGGCAGTCAGCATCTCCTTCCTCTTCTCCTGGGAGACATTCTCTGGAGCATAACAGATGTGAGGTTCAAGGACTTTGAGACCACAGAAGTGCATGATTCCATGCTGGATGCAAAACAAAGAAAGAAATGCCTCAGGAAATATCTACTCTTTCATTTGAAGCTCGTGGAAGATTCAAATCTGCTCTGTTTGTCTGATCCAATATCAGCCAGGTTTTCTAAACCTGTGCATTTATCAGGAGAAGGGGAGTAAACTATTGTTAAACACACAGAACTGTCCTCTTTGGATGATGTATGCTGTTAAATTTGCAAAGATAAGGGACAGCCTAAAGTTCATTGACTTGAACCCCCTTGGTTGAACTTGGTTGAACCCCCTCAGATTGTTCCTGAACTGCAGTGTTTCACATCTACTTCCATGTTAGCTTATCGGATTTTTGGTTTGTTTTGGTTTTTAAGCTT